CCCTAAAGTTACGCCCTTGGATACAGACGTTGTTGGAGTCAAATTTTGATTACAATGTTTTTGTTTTGGACTGTTTGAAAGTTGCCTTTGCTGGTGTGTGTCATATTCAATGGTAGGTAGAATGAAGACTTTTTTAAACCCCTAGCATGGACATAAAGAAAGTTTAACGATTTCTTTCTGGTGGATTTTTTAAAAAACACAGAAAAAATGATCAGGTTAACTTCTTTCGGGGTCTGCTGCTGTTGTGCCAAAAACAGGAAACACTGTTTGATTGACACAAAGRGCAGAATCAGACATACAACAGCCTTGTGCTGCCTGATTCAGCCTGGTCTGCTCAGGCCTGATTGAAAAAAAAGACAAATTCTTAGTTAATGTCACAAAAAGCCCGCTCCACAAAACACAGGCTACTTTGCAGAGCTCTATTGTTTTGTTCAGTTCTGTTGGAAAACTGTGTTCAGTCTTACCCGTCAGGCCTGAGGTCGGGTATTGGACGCCTTAAAGAGAGACGATCACTGAGGTAGGCATTATATCCATAGTACTGGAACATTTTGAGCGCCACTCGCCGGTTGTCTGGACTGAGCTCCTGACCCCAGTGAGCGAAGAGCGATGAATCAGAGAACGACGAGTCCGGCTGACCGTCCTCTCCCCTCCCCGGCGTCTCTGGAAGGCACAGGAAGATAAATAAAATGAATATTTGTCTGAGTCACACCATAACCTACCTGTGAGGTTGTGCAGAAAACAACTTTTAAATTATGTGGATGAACAGTGGAGATTACACACAAATGTGATGAACGCTTTATGTTCTGTAATGTATGTGAGCAGGTAAAGGGTAACCCGTTATTTGGAGACACACAAAGGCTGTCCTTCAAACAAAACATCAGTGATGAGAAGTTCTCCTTGAGCAAAAGATTTACTCCTTTCAGCTGCTTGTTGARTATTCTGCAGCTGATGTTGCTCTTTACCCAGCACAGAGGACGAAATTAAACTAATTTACTAAAATATATTATAATTATGAAACACAMCTTTCCTTTAATAACAAATCAAAATCTAATATGTGGTATTTTTGGAATAATGTAATTGCAAAAGTGTTTCAAAGGACGAGAATTTGTTTGCCAGGACTTGCTTTATGTCTAGACTTTCTAAAACATCAGTCAGTTTTTAAACGGCTTGCACAGCATTCAAGACACTTGACTGCACTTTCAGCCAAACATCTGTGTTTCAGAGTCAGGGAGTTTTATTCAGAAGGGAAAGAATCCAAGAAAACAGAACAGGAAGTGTGTATAAATAGAGCAAAACCATCTTGAGCGTGCAAGATTCTTAACAGGATTCACACGACAACAATATCTGCCTCGGAAAATCTACAAATAGGCTGGGATTTCTGCGTATTTTTCTAATAATACATCACTTCTTTGTGTCTTTTCAGACACTCTGCAGAGTTTCAAGGATATTCAACAGTCAAGTCTGAGTTTTAACTTCACAGTCAAACATCTACATCCCTAAAACTGCACGRGCTATAATCTCAAAACAGATTAACAAACTTTAATAACTAAACTCTTTACGGCAATTAATGAAGGAATTCATGAACAGAATACAAACATTGAAAAAAAGCTACTATTTACCTCTGAGTCATAGATGATAATGTCATATTTATAATTCAAATGTCCTGATCAGCCGCAAATTAAATTAAATWAAAACTGCCTCTGGTATCATGTGGTAATAGTTTGATTAAAGAGGCAGCATCCATCCCCTGCAACATACTGAGGCTACAGAACAATAAACTGAAAACACATTTCATCACACAGCTTTAGTTTCTGATGTTACTTCTGACAGACTGAGGTTGTCAAGAATAATTCACATCCTACAAGATTTAAAAAAGTTTGTTTTAGTTTTAAGAAGAAAAAATGTTAAAACACAGCAGGATTTTTCCTCTGGTTTAAAAATATAATAAAGATCAGTAAAAAAATGACATTTTCAGTGAAACTGCAGTATGAAWGCTGAGTGCTGAATGYTTTT